TAGTGATATTTAGGACAATTTAAAGGAAATATTACGTTATACAGTAAGCAATGGATTTGAGAAATGTAAGTGTAGATGCTGAAACAATGAATAGATTCTATAAATGTATGCAGAGGGTGTGGATGGCAGACTTGGAATTAGGAAAGTTAGCAGCAGAGTGCAGCATCTGTAGCCTGGCTGCATTGTGAAGTTCATCACGATATTTCATTAAATGCACTGTCGATACCTCTATAAGTTAAGGATTGTGTTCAGTTGCAAAGAACAGAAAACCCAACATAGAGTCATTTAGCTCAACAGGGCTTTTCACTTTTTATTGGTTGTCACAGCTCTAAAACTAGAATCACAAGAAGGAACACTGCTCATAGCCACTGGTGCTGCAGCATTGTCAATGCTGACATTAATGTTAATGATCAGGGTAAAAGACATTTGGGGGTCACCACTCCAGGACTGGTATGATGGCTCAGTGCTCTCAGGGACCCAGGCCCCTCCATCTTCCCAGTCAGCCATGCTTAGAGTATGGCCTTCATCCTCACATCTGCCAGCTGCCTCATTTCCCTTCAAGCACTGTGTCCTCATTCCAGACAGGAGTAAGTGGAAGAGAAAAAGGCAAAGGCAAGATGAATTGGCCTACTTTAGAGCAGTTCCAGCCTACATCTTCCATTTGCCCCTCATTGGGTGGAACTATGTCACATGATCACCCCCAGCTGCTATGAATGCTGGGAAATGTAGTTTTAGCCAGGCACATTGCCACCTGAAACAAACACTCATAAGAAAAAGAAGGGAATGGACATTGGGTAGGCAACTACAATGTCTGCCACAGTACGACCATCTAAGGTAAAATACTAGGCTGCAGGAGCATGGTATTTCAGGTAAGAATAAGTTGTAAAATAACAGGTGGCAGAGCTATGCCCAAAGATGGGGAGCATCAAGCAGCAGCTGAATGATTTGACCAGTGCGGATCACCTGCCTCAGCAGTTGAACAGTGCATGTGCAGGAACCATATGACAGATTTAGTTCTTCTGTTTCCCTTTTCATCGGTAGTCACAGCTGTAAAATTACAGCCACAAGAGGGAACATTGCTACTGGCACTACAGCATTGTCAAAGACTCACAGATTGACGTCAACCCAAAAACATATTGTAGGTAAAGAAATTTTCCCCCACTGAGCAACCCCTCCTGTCACTTTAATTCAGGTTTAAGAATCCTACAGCAGCTTGGAAAGAATTGTGAGATTTCTCTTCTTAAATTCCTGGACTTTCCAAAGCTATTATCTTCAGAGAAGACTATTTGCTTGTCTGAATAAAACACGACCTACTTAAATCTTTACTTTGAGGTCCACCTTTCCTGAGAATCTTCACTCTGCTAGATATACAAGGACTGAGCTTGGTGACAGCTGGAATGATGTCTCAACCAGAGCCTCCGAGGGGGACTCAGCAAGGAAGATGTGGCAAGTGTCCCTTAGAGAAAACATAAAAAAGTCTCCTTCCTGCTTTGTTAGAAGATCCTGTCTGTTGTCTCCTGCCACAAATTTAAAATTTAGATTAACAAAATAGTGGCTGTTCCCAAATCTTGCTACTGATAGAATAAAATGGAGTATCGCTTTATATGGGCCATGCTTAGACACCCTTCCCGTATCCTAGGCCTTCCAGCTTATGAACAGTTTGGGGCATGCCACTGCAGGGAGCCAAGGTTTCCAGTTAAATGTGTTTTGGAAGAGATGCAAGAATAATTAAGATACTCAGAGATCGTGATTAGCATTTCTTTATTACTTCTCATCTTCCAAATACTTTACAAACACTGAGCCTGTGTCTGGGGGGTGGGGTAGTTGGAAAGAGATGGAGAAATGCCACAATTGTGTGCATAACTCAGGCCAAAACATTCTTTAGCCCCAGTCATCTGACAATTCCCGGCAGAGGCGCTTGTGGCCTGAACTGCCCAGACAGTGGCCCTAACCCTTTGTTTCTCTTTTCACGTATAGACACAACTCATCCTGGGTTACCTTGACCATCCTCCTGTGAGGATACGGGACTCTCCTTATTATCGTCTCTGCTTTACAGGGAGGGTCGTTGAGCCATAGAGAGTTGAAGAGGTTTGCTTGGTCTGAGGCTAAGCCAGGATCAGTCTGTCATGGTGGATTTCCTACCAGGAAAAATTTGAGTCAGATCAAGAAATCAATCAGATTCAGTCCTTGTTTATTCAGATATCTCAGCAAAATGTTAAATAGCAGCAAAAACACATTTTCTACCTCTTCTTCTAAAATACAAGTTTTAGTAGTAGATAGAGTACTTCATCACAGGGGAAAGGGAAGGAGCTCCATTTATAACCCAACCAAACCGTACATCTCAGTTGCTACAATGAAGTTAGGGCTGGATATGCAGGGATCCCTAAAGCAATTGGGAAGCAAATCCTGGGCCCCTTCTGAGACATATTTCTGAATGCTGTGCAAGAAATTCTCCATGAGAATACAACTGTCCTCCCTAACACTTTAGAGGAAGTTTTAGGATTGGGGATCCAGGGAGAAAAGCAAGGGAACAATTGCATTCAGTTATCTCCCCTTGGGGTGTGATAAAGTGCTCTCTCTCTCTCTCTCTCTCTCTCTCTCTCTCTCTCTCTCATAGAGTTTGGATATGTTGTCCCCCAAAGCTCATGCTGAAATCTGATCCCCAGTGTGGCAGTGTTGGGAACTGTTTGGGTCATAGGGGCAGAGTGGATACCTCATGAAGAGATTAATGCCCTTCCTGGAGGGGGAGGGAAGTGAGTGAGTTTTCACTGTATTACTTCCCATGAGAGCTGGTTGTTTAAAGGAACCTGGTACCTCCTCTCTCTTTCTCTTGCTTCCTCTCACTGTATGATCTTGCACCCACTGGGTGCCTGCCATTTTCTGCCATGAGTACAAGCAGCCTGAAGCCTACACCAGATGCAGCTGTCCCAGAATCGTGAGCCAAATAAACTTCTTTTCTTTATAAATCACCCAGCTTCAGGTGTTCTGTTATAGCAATACAAAAACAGACTAATACTGCATGTACATGTGTGTATGCATGCATGCTGGACTCAATCAAAGAATAGCACACGTGGCTTCTGTTGCACTGAGCAATGCCTGAGAATGCCAGGGCATCTCCCTCCATCAGGATGTGCCAGGAGGCAAACACCATGGCAGAGATGTGGCTGGAAAGGTGAACAAAGACACTGCCCCTGGCCACATCTCCTGAGCAGAAAAGAAGGGCCAGCACAAACATGCTGAGAACAGCAGCTCAGTCACCTCATGATTTGCAGAGGCGGTGGACATGCTCTCCATCTCAGTCCTCCCGTGGCCTCTCCAAATACTCACAAAGATGGTTCCTGCATCAGTGAGTTTATTCCTCAGTCCCGCTCCTGTTTAAAGAGGCGTGCACGAGTTCATTCCCTCGGGTTAGCTTTCTAAGAAGATATTTATCTGCTGTGTGTGTTTCATCCTAGTCCATTCTAGACCTTGGGTTCTCAGAGTCATGAGGCTGTTGATGGCAGATGTAACCCTCTGGCCGGGTCAAAGTCACTGCGGTGCAGGGGGTGGGGGGTAGGCAGTGCATGTGGAGACAGCACGCTGGAATATACGCTCCCAAACCCCACAACATGCCCAAGAATAACAAGAACATTAACCACAGACCCAAACGCCGGTGAAATTCTATCTCCACTTCTCTCTCCACCAGTAAACATGAAAATGCCATTCCTGAGGGGATGGACGAGGCTCCAATGAGAAGTCCAGGGAAAACGAGAGGAGGAGATGAAGGGCCACTTTGGGAAATAACTCCAGCACGTCTGCACTCTCCAATCACTAGAAAGATTCCCCCCCAGTGACAACTGAATAGAGACATTTTTCACTAGCTGGGAAAAACAGTGAATTTGCACTTTTCGTTAAAAAAGGCATTAAATTTCCAAATGCTTTTTTGTCACTTTTTCTTTGGCTGTCCCCATCCCTTCCCCCTCATCTCATGAGATTCTTCCCTCCTTTGCTGTACACCAGCCTTGCTGGCCATTCTGTTCCCCCAGTTAGCCAAGTTCATTCCCACACTAGGACTGTTTTATTTGCTGTTCTCTTTGCTATAATGTCCTGTCCCCAGATCATTGCAGGGTGTCTTCTCTTGCTCAGGTCTTGCCTCAAACGTCACCTTCTCAGAGAGGTTTTCTCTGGCCACCTATCTAATGTTTCCCCCTGCCACTCTCTACCATCTTCTTCTTTCTTTTCTTCTTATCAGTCACCACTCTCTCACATGATGTTACTTATTTATCTATGTATCTATTGTTTATTCCCCCTGACTAGATGCACACTCCAAAGGAGCAGGTCCCATGTCTGTCTTGTTCATTGCCGTATCTTCTGTGCTTAGCATGTGGTAGGCAATTGATGATCGGATAGATGGATAAATGGATGGATGGACAGACATGAGGGTGGGTGGGTATAGATAAATGGATGGACAGATGAACTGACATATGGATGGACAGATGGATAAATGGATGGATGGACAGATGGACATACAAATGGATGGATGGGTATAATCAATGATTTGACTCAAGTCTTTTATCCAGCTTGGCCGGATCTTTTGCTCCATGGTCCACACCAAAGAAAACCAACTAGTGGACACTAGGGCTGTAATTACAGCCAAGATATTTAATCGGTTGAAGCTGTGAGAAGTAATTTGGTTCCAGCTTTAAATGAGCCCCTATTCTCCTTCAAAATAATCCTTTTGTTTTGATGTACTTTGATGCTTGGTAAAAAGCCCATAACTCATTAATTCTCAGAAAATTCCCAAATAGCAGGCTTGGAGAAGTGTCTTGATGATTTGGATTTTTAAAGATGGAGAACTTAAATGATGGTGTACCAGAAGGAGCTGGTAGTATCATGCTGGCTTAATTGTGGCCACTGGAATCATCCTTGCTCCTGAATTTGATGGACTGTTAAGGGTGGTATTTGTTAATTATGTGCCTCCAATTTATTTGTTTGTTTGCTTGTTCATTTATTCGTTTTAGAATAACCTCAACGCGGAAAGTGATTCCACATCAGAAACCAGCTTTCCTCTCTCCAAACAAGCACCAGGGGAGCATTTGGACCATCAGGCCGCGCACCAACCCTTCCCCAGACAGCAATTCCGACCAGAGACTGGGCACACTTCATTGCAAAGAGATGGCCCCAGATCCTTTCTCCTTGATTTACCAAACTTTCCAGATCTTTCCAAAGCTGATATCAATGGACAGAACCCAAATATCCAGGTAATTCTTGGCATATGAAAGGTGGAAATAAATGAAACTATTTTTTGTTTCCTGATCTGATTCCAGTGGAAACTTCTGCCTTATCCCACTTTTCCTCTTAACTCCTTAATGATTCCTGCTGTGGTCATGTTATCTCCCTAAGAACACTGTTGCATTTCGTCTATGCAACACCCAACACCCTTGATCATGAGATGCACCATGATTTTATGAACAAGTCAAGAAAACACTGTTGATGAAAGTGGGACACACCATGGATTATAAGATACATCCTGATGTCAGAGACATAGAAATGGAAAATCAGAAGAAAACAAAATAGTACACCCTGAAACTGATGAAATATGGCAGCTTTAGGAAAGGACCAGTCTGACATGTGAATAGTCTAGGCAAACCATAGCATGATTTCAAAGCACTCAGGAAGGCTCTTTCTCTCAATGCCTCTCCAGCTTGCCTTGGACACCAGAAACTCCTGCAGGAGGTGACAAGCTTCAGTTGCTCTAAAGTGTAAATGACTGATAAAAAAAAAAAAAAATCTGGTTAGAGGAAGGAAACAGAACAGAAATTGCTAGGGGAGAAATGAATACAGTCCACTAAGATGGGATTGGATGCAGCAGGAGGAAGTGAGAGGTTAGGGAAACGGTGCTTGGAACTGAAAATAACAACACTCACCTACACGGGAATAGCACAGTAACTTTACAAGGCAAAGAGACAAAGCTGGTGTCATTTATCCAGTACTGTAAATAAGGCAACAGGCACTCAGGGAGTTACTGTTTGGTTTACTCAAGATCACATGGCTAGTAAATGGTAGTTATGGGGCAAAACTTCACGCTCACAGACTCCCAGGGATATTCACCCACCAATCCGTGTTTCAGAGGCAAACTCTTAATTTTGAACATTGCATGTACCGCCTTCTGTTTCTTCCTAAAGATGGTTCCTATGATGGCTGAGGGAGGCTAATGCCCCCGCGCAATTCAGCCCCTACCCAGCTCCTGTCCTCATATGTCTGCTTCTATACTTTTAAGTTCTGTTCTCAATTCCTTTCATTTGCGGAGGGGCAGCTTTTCCTGATTCTTCCTCTCTGCACCAAATGCCCATTAGTTTACTTGGCAGGCAGTTCCTGAACTTGACCTCCAAGCAATTGATCCTTAATTAAGTTAACTGTCTCTCTCTTTCTCTCCCGACTAACACCCTCTGCATGATACAGTTTTAGATCAGGTTTCCTTGACCAGAGTTCTGGTTCTGCTCATAACACGAGTGTCATGGTGGCTGACAGATATCACTGAGAACACAACTCAATTAAAATACATCAGCCAGCCCTAAAGCATGTAAAAGCTATGTTAGGTTACGGGAGAGTAAGAAATGTAAGGTCTGGTCCCTTCAGGAAATGGCATAGGTGTGAAGATCCCAGCTACCACATAAGGCAGTGGCAGAAGGATCATGAAGACAGAGTGGGGAAAAGCACTGTGTTCTGAGGGGCAGATCTCAGTAGATGGGAAGAAGTAGGGCAGGGCTCTGTCAATGGTACAGAAGCAAAAAATGTTCTAGAGCTCACTCCTTGACAGCTCATGTGCAGAAATCACTGCATGCCCCAGTTAATATTTCTGATGCATCTTGGATTGTTCTAATCGATTCATTGGAAAAACAGGCCTTTCACTCTAATGCCCCCTCTTCAGGAACTGGCCACAGGGCTCTCTGATAAAGACCAATAGATTCACTTGGGAAAAAAAAAAAATAGGCACGTACATCTCTATACCATTGCTCAACATTGCTCCCTATCGTGGCTTGGTCTACATGTTTGTACATATACATTGCATGATTCCAGGCCAGCCAGCCTGCCCCCCAAGGGTGCTTTGTGAGGAGCACCCCAAAATTGTTTGGCATACCCCAAACAATCTTAAGCTTGCCGTGGCTAGCGTTTTTTTCCAGAGGTGGGAAACATCACTGTGGAGCTTAATGCTGGGAACTGAGCTATTAGTGTAACAGATTTAAAATTACTAATGTAAAGGTACAGGGAAATGCCTGGATGCAGGAAATAGAAGGCTGGGGGGGAATGTTCCCTGTTTGAAAACTGACCGGGTGCCTTGTGCTCTACCTACGAATCAAGTTTTGAGCAGAACTTCTCAAGATCCCTTTTCTCTCTCCCAAATACATCTATCAGTCCAGAAATACCCAGACCCTGCTTGGGCCTTTTAAAAATATATCCTAAATGTTAGGTGCAAAGGCAGTTGGAATCCACAGAGCTGGGAATCCCAGATTACTTTCCAAAGAAAAGAAAGGGACAGCCATGAAGTGCTGACCCCTCTACAGCCCACAGGACAGATTTGTGCATGAGCTCAGTAGAGCAGCCAAGACCACGATTCATTTTTCATCATCAGATGCAGTGTTGTTTAGCCAAATGAGAAGAAAAGGTCTCTTTGGAACAGTCCTGCCCAGCTTCCTGAGGGGGAGGGGGCTGTCAGAATTGCCAGGTGTGGAAAGAAAGAGTGAGAGTGAGGTGAGGGAGCAGAGAATAAGTCTAGGATGAGTTAAGAGATGGCCATGCGGGGTGTGAATGTTCACAGCATGAGATCCTCACTGGCAAAGCCTCTTGGACTTTTGTAAAATGCAACTTCCCATGAGCTTTGACCTCATCTCCTCTGAGAACCCAAACACCTGCTCACATAGACTTAGAACAGGTGAAAAGTCACAATCAATGCTTGTTTTCATTTCTCTTACCCTAGCACAGGAACAAGAAGTTTAACTCCAGGTGTTGCTTCCAAAAGCGCTGCTTGGGAGGACAGGGTGGGAAGAGGGACAGGGCTATTCCTATGAGGTCCCCATATTTTTCTTGAGTGACCCTTTGGACCGTAAAGATCACCATAACTCCCAAGAATAAAGATTTCCCCACAGCTCCAAATATCAGGGTTATTGGCAGAGTGGATTCGAAACTAATGCAGCTCCCACTTAGATATCATTAAAGTCGAAAACCCAGAAAGACTGGACCAATACCAGCTTTTTGCCCACTGCCCAGTCGGGTATTCCATTTCTGCTTTACACAACCCCTGTGTCTGTTAACCTTCTGCAGGCCATACAGAGGGGCGGGGGAAACCAATGTTTTATTGATCTGATGTCTTAACTGGCCCTAAAGGAAAGAAAATTGAGCTGCATTTCTGGCCTTCTGTTCTGGAAAAATCAAAAACGGTTAGTATTGGTCACTTAGAAACCTGTTCAAAGAAGGAATGAAGCAGCTGCTACTCCTGGAAGCCCCAGCCCTACATCAGTGTATAAGTGTGTGTGTGCACATGCACATGCAACACACACACACACACGCACGCACGCACACAGTGCTAGCTGCAGCAGCCCATGCACCACTGCACTTGAGTAAACCAGTTCCCTGGTGGTCCTTTAAAACATGAGGTGCTTTCTAAAAGGGGGTGATGATTTCCATGTTGGCAGCCCTCATCCTTCCTTACAGCACTGCTCTTTTATTGAAATCCACTGGTTTGACACAGGGCCGATTCAACCAAGCAGACAGCCCACTGGTCACCACGGCCGTCAAAGCACTTTCTCTCCCTGGTTAGCAGAGTGAAGACAGGTGAAGGGTGGTGCATCAGTGGGTCGTCTTCCGCTGCCAGGGCCTCTGATCTCATCTGCCCCCTTCCCTGGCAACTTGCCCCTTGCCCCCACCTAGTTATCCCTGGCTGGAGCCGGGGAGCTGGACAGGAATTCAATACCCCCTCCCTCTGTCCCTGTCACCCCTCCAGGCTCTGAAAGCATTTCCCACGCTCCAGGGCTGGTCTGCTCTGCCTTCTGCAGAAACAGCCTGCACCTTTCCAAAGTCACATTGCTGAGCCCGTGCAAAGGGCCATGTCCCTCTTGGGACTCTTGACTTTTAGGGTGGGAAATCCTTATAAAAGCCCCAACATTTGCTTCTGTGGAGCATTTTTAATCCCCACAAGACAAGCAGGCTCTGTCCCAAGTGAATCAGTCTCTGCATTTTAAGACTGGTTTCAGGCTGTGGAAGTGAGTGGATAAGAAAACAAGAATGCACAAAATAGAAAGAAATGGCCGCAAACCCCTGAACTGAATTTCCATATTAAACTTAAAACAATACAAGAAGTTGGTTTTGTTGGGAAAAAAATATATTCAGTTAAAGAAAGTAAATCTCCCAGAGAAGAGAGACGTGAACTTTAGTATCCTTGGCTGGGTTTCTGGTCTGCAGCTGATGGTCAGATAGCAAATACAAAAATCTCTAAAATAAACTCATTATTAGGCTTACTGCATCAATTCAATACTACAGTAGCTATTCACAGCCAAATATTTCCCTTCTCTGGATCAAAGTGAAGTTAGTATTCATTTCAACCAATATACTTATTTCTTTTCTTCCATTGAGAAAGACTTAAAAACAGTTGTGTAAAGGCCTTTTTTTTTTCTTGCACAGACTTATTTGCATGGCCATAGGCCTCTTGAGTGCCACAAGATACCATCAGATGAGTTGGCCAGGGCTACAAATGTTGTGCTTGCTTCTACTTCTGATTTCCCCTCCTCTTTCTTCTCTAAAATATATCTGGAATGGCAGGCCTGGCTGAGTAAGAACCAAGAAATTTCTATGCCCAAGACACAGACCCACACAACCACACAGATTCTGCTGTTCAGAATCCGGTGGGGTGCTGCTGTCAACAGCATGGAATGTGGAGTCAGATTGACCCAGGATCCAGCACCACCGTTTAGTCAGTCGGATGGAGCCTCTGTAGCCTCAAGCAGGCTACACGGCCTCTTTGTGCCTCAGGTTCCTTCTCTGTAAAATCAGAAGGATAATTAAACATGAGTACCTACATACTACAGGTAAGTATGGTACTACATAAGTATGGTTATCTGTGAGGATTAAATGAGACATCCCTATGGTCTTAGCTCAGGGCCATGTGCATGGTCAGCTTCCTAGAACTGATAGATGCTGGTTGGTGATGGTAATGGGGACAAAGACAACAGAGCAAATGCGTATGAAAATAATTGTAAATCAGAAGACTTGGTTTTGAGACTGGCTTTCTACCTTCCTCATTGTTTGCCTCGGGAATTTGAATTCTTCAAGCCAGTTTCTGTGCCCAAAAATTGGGTCTGCACTGTGTAAAAGGCACAGTAATGTTTGGGCATGCTCGTTGCAAGTCTCAAAGCACGAGCCACAGTTAGCTGGGGTTGCCATAGTGGTTTTTAGAGCCTTGGTGGGTCTGAAAGGACCTACTAGTCCATTTTGTGTTTTTTCCACAGCAGTTGTCAAGGAAGGGGGAAGTGGGGGGGGGAGAATGATCTGGATCCAAAACCTTTGCTGGAGACGTGTCCCTGGATGCTCTGTGTACGGAGGAAGTCATTTTCCCATTTGGGAGATACCAACCCACACCCACCTAGTCCCCACAGCCCCCATTGCTTAGGGGACCAATGAGTGAGAGGATTCTCCTGGGGTCGAAGGACCTGGCTTCTGTGTTCTTGGTAGCATTTCTTAATTACCAGTTAGACTGAGGAGTGTTAGTTTCCCTGTGGGAAATGTTTTTCAGAGCAAGAGTAAGGAGTTGTTTCTAATGAAAGTATTAACTATCAAGAGAAGGAAAGCTGATCAAGGTGCATTTCTTGATTTTGGACAGAATTCTTCAGATTGGCACCTATTTTGGACTCTTATTTAGAGCTGAGGGGTTTCTGCCAGAAGTTGGACTTGAGGCTTTTGGAAGCATTCCTTTCCTTTTGCCATCTTGATTTAAGGTGTGGGAAAGTCCAGAAGAAGCAAATGCTCTAAGACACTTGAATTATGTGTGTTAAAGATGAGAAAGGATGGGAAGATCTAGAATCTTAGCTGGGAAATCAGCTGTGCTTACTCCACACCTATAGCTCATTATGGCCGATTATTGTTCAAGACGTCTTTACAAAACAATTTGTTAATGCTAAAAAAAATAAAAAATAAAAAAAAAAAATAAATAAAATGAGAGCAACAGGAAATGTAAAACTAATCCCCACCATTTGAGAAGTCATTGATCATGCTTATTAAGTCTTTTTAATTGGATGCCTATGAAATTTCAGGTTCAAGATTAGATTTCTTCTTTCGATATCAATATGAGATTTCCACATTGTTAACTGTAAGGAAGGGTGGATCTTAAGATTTGTTCAGTGTTTGTTTTGTTTTGTTAATTCAGTTGGGGCAGTGGCTAGCAATTAAAGGGAAGAAAGAAACCTCTAAGCTGTTGAGGTTTAGTCATTGATATAGTTTTTGGAATAAATTCGTATTTTGCTACTCATTGCCTGACCAGGCAACAAATCTATTTTGTTTGGATCTGAACAGCGGTTTGGAAAAAAAAAAAAAAAATCGTATTGACAGTAATAGCTTGAAACATGAAATTGTTTTTATTCCCAGCTTGGAGAAATTGCAGGGCAAGTTTTGTTTGAGCGATCCCTTTGACTCCAGTCCGCATACAAATGGAATATCGAAACTGTTGGGCACAGTCCCCCTTATCTCCTACCCAGAGACTGATTTCATTACAGTAATTGCAGGCTTGCCTGGCTCTTGGCAGCCTCTCCCCTCGAAGACCCTCACAGCCTTGCAGAAGATCACTGCAGCTCGGTTGTGCTGTCTGCAGGCAGAGGGAGCCGGGGCTGCAGAGGAGAAAGGTCCTACCTCCAAGGGTTCGGCATTGCCCTGTCACTGCGCAGCTTGGTTCTGCACCACCCGGCTGTGCGCGTCTTCTGTACTTGTCCTTCCCAGCTTCCGTGTGGGTCCCAGTGACCATTACTCTCGGCGACCATCCATGCCAACAAACAGCAATGATACATTATGTACGATGTATTCCTTTTCTTCCTTTCCCTTTTTTCTTTTTAGGAGATTACTAAATGGCTCCATAATTATTTATAAATATGCAAGGGATGCCTACAAGACTCGGGTGATGGTGGTGGCATAGGATGCCCTAATGGTGCCCTTTTAGGCATCCCACAACAGAAGATGCACTTGGCCTGCCGTAGTCTAGGCGTATGTTGAGATTGAAGGCCATCGTCTTCATCATGTGTCTGAACCTCGCAAAACCACAGCCTGGGCCCACCATGGGCTGGGAATGAATGTACAAGTGAGCAGGATTCAACCCTCCCAATTCCTTACACAAAAGGAAGGGGCTGTTTGTCTCAGGGATGGGCACACCCCAGTGCAATCTGGCAGAGCATCTCAGCAGCTCTCTCAGATGTCGGGTTAGGGCGAAACTGGAAATGCATCTGCCCAGTACATCTTGCGCTGATTACTTGGAGCACGTGTTTCTGATTCATTTGCACAGAACTCATCCAGAGGGTGTTGCAAGAGCTGAGTGATGGCCAAAGGAACCCAATGAGTCTTTTATTATATTTTTTAAACAAGTTTCTCTACGTTGATTGTCTCTCAGAGCCAAGAAGCTGCCTCCTTCCAGACCCGTGACAGACTTCAAATCTAGGCTTTGTAAATCCAAGAGCAAGTTCTAACCTTGACTCTGGGACTGTCTGCTCCAACCTTGAGGGTCAGTTGAGGCATGTGCAGTCTGGGTCTGGACTATGGGATGAATGATAATCATAGCTGGGAAAGCCTGGTCTTGAGGACCCGTGCTCACCTCTCTGTACATCCTGTGGCATCCAGCTCTACCCCCACCAGCACCTGTGGCCTCTTTGCTCCCTTGGACTCATGAGGTGCAGTGCCTCTCTCATTTACTTCTTGAGAGGCAGTGTGGCAAAGTTGGTTAAAACATGGGCTCTGGAGCCAGACTCCCCACATCTGCCATTCACTAGCTCTGTGACCTTAGACCAGTTGCTAACATCTCTGTGCACCAGTTTTCTCTGTCTGTAAAAAGCTATCTGTTGCTATCCAGCAACCACCCAAGACTCAATAGCTTGAAGCAATGACCTTTAGATTGTTCATGGCCCTGTGGGTCAAGAACTTGAGCAGAGCTCAGCCAGAACAGCATGTCTCTGCTCCATGTGGTGTCAGTGGGGGTGACCCAACTGGGTATGGAGGATAGAAAATGGCCTTGATCACGTGATTATGGCCTTGGAGCTCGACATTAGCTGAGGTGCCTCAGTTTCCCTCCACGTGGCCTCTACGCATGAGGTGGTCTAGGCTGGTCTTCCTTATGCAGTGGTAGGAACATTCCGAGAGAACAAAAACAGAATCTGCAAGACCTCTTAAGACCTGTCACAGTGTCACCCCTACCCATTCTGCTGGATAAAGTGGGTCTCAAGGCCAGCCCAGATTGAACAGCAGGGGAAACAGACTCCAGCTCTTGACAGGAGGAGTGGCACACACATACAGGTACAGGAGGTTATTATGAGGATTAAATACTCGTAAATTGATATAGGTGGTGCATTTAGAGCAGTGCCTGACATAGCATTAGTACTCACTAAGTGTTATGCTTGATTATTCTTGTATCACTTTGGGAACACATATAGTTCCTGTTTACTCCTTGAATAAAAGTCTTCTCAACAACCTAATCGTCAGTAAATCAGGGAGCCTAGTGATGAATTCTCTCCTCCCATGTCTCCTCCAAGGCCATCTCCCCTCTGGTCATGGAATTCACCTGGGCTGTCCTGGATGTTTTGCATTCTGTCCTGCCAGGCAGTCTCAGCTTTCCTTCAGGAGGGATGCATCCATCCTTTCCCTCCGCTCTCTCAGACTTTCTTCCAAGGGTCACAGAGCTTGGAGGCTGTGGGCTCCACATTGACCCTGGCCTGTTCTGAATTCTTCAGGTCACCATAGAGGTGGTCGACGGTCCTGACACTGAAGCAGATAAAGATCAGCATCCGGAGAATAAGCCCAGCTGGTCAGTCCCATCCCCCAGCTGGCGGGCCTGGTGGCAGAGGTCCTTGTCCTTGGCGAGGGCAAACAGCGGGGACCAGGACTACAAGTACGACAGTACCTCAGACGACAGCAACTTCCTCAACCCCCCCAGGGGTTGGGACCGTCCGGCCCCAGGCCACCGGACTTTTGAAACCAAAGAGCAGCCAGAATATGGTGAGTTTACCACCCAGTAATGTAAGATTGGTGGGTAGAGTAAATGAGGCCATGAGGACTAACGGACATGGAGCCAAGCAAAACCCAGTTTACAGTGTGTGGCTTTTGGTCTTCGATGAGGCATACCTCACAAAGGCTCTGTCCCGCAGAAGCCCCACGGAGGCACCAGCAGCCACATTTTTCTGGAAAGACTATAATTTTAAAATCATATCAATTATCCTAAGAGAGAATTTTTTTAGGGTCTTTGGGGTTTTAACTGCCGTTTTTCCCCCAAAATTTTACTTTTATTTCTAACAATGAAGAAATCATCAAATCAACTTCCTTGTATGTTTTACTGTAAGAATTTATGTTGAAAATCAGTTTAGGAAAAGAGATGCATAGAGCAGGCAAGTGTGTTAGGTTTGATATTGGCAGTGGAATGTGTCATGGGTTGTCAAAGTAATTACCCTCCCCAATAAATTTCAAGATCCCAAGTTAGGACTTGCCATTTCTCATGTTTTTAGAATGGAATAGATGAGGTAACAAACGACTTCCAAATTCAGTGACAAAATAATAAAAGTTCGTTTCTCACTTGAGTTGGGATGGGAGACAGAATGGGGAGAACTCAGCTCCACTCAGTCATTCAGGGATCCAGCCTCCTTCCATCTTGGAGCTCCACCAGCTGTTAGGGCCTGAGAGCTATCTTCCTGATACTGTCTATCTGGCTGATAGCTAAGGAAAGAGAGGGAACCTGGAGAAGGCACACACACAATTAACCCCCTCAGCCCCGGTGACACACATCATACCCACTTATGTTCTGCAAGACCTGGTCATATGACCCCAGATAGATACAAGAGAGGGTGGGAAATGTATTCTGTGTGTCCAAGAAAAAGAGGAAACACATTTGGCAAGCATCTGGCTAGTCTTGGTAGGGAATCAGGCAGTGTGTTATAAGAATACTTGATGTCTTACAAAGGCACCTGTCATCATGATGGTGCCACCATCAGTGGACTTGGGAGTGAACAGTATGTGTTGAGAATGATTGTACCTTCGCACTCTCACCCTTACCCCCATTTTTCAACAGAAAGACCAGTTGTATATCAGAGTGTCATTTCTACCCAGTGATAGATAATTGTAGGTGACTTCCAGAGCAGCAAGACAATTTTTTCCTAGCCACATTATTCAGTTGTTCAACCAGCATTTATTAAGAATGCGTCTCATGTCCGGCACTATGCTAGGTGCTAGGAATCCAAAAATGAGCAGACACAGTTCTTTCCTAAAGAAGATCTCACCCACTGAGGACAAAGGGAGAAAATTAACGGAGAGAGCAAAATAGTGCCATGGTAGACATACACATCAAATTCTAGGGAAACAGAAAGAACTCTATACCCTTCCATCCAGGAGGTTCATGAAACCTTTCCCTTTCTGACGGGAAATCCATTTATCTGTTTTCCAAGAGGAAGGACTGGGGGTAGCACATCTATATAGTATTTACCATGCACTAGTCCCTCTTCATGGCATTTTACATATATTAGCTCATTTAATCAGCTCTCTGAGGCAGATACCCCATTTTACAGGTGGGAAGACTAAAGGCTGGAGAAGTTAAGCAACTTGAGTTGGAGGATCACGATCTGGGATTCATCCCAGGCAGTCTGGGCCCAGACTCTGTCCTCTTGACCATCATACTATTCTGCCTCTCTGGGAAGAAAGTGACACGTCCCTTAGGATAGTAGGATGGATCTAGAAATGAATGGTTACATTGGAAGACAGGAATGACAGGAAAAGATCAGTGCTGTTAATAAGAGAAACACGGGATGCCTGGATGCCAAGCTGAGACTGCACAGGGTTTGTGGCTTCACCTGTTTGCCCAGTCCCCACGGAACATTCTTTCTAAGAGTGGAGCTCAGACACCTGACATCAGAATCCCTCGGCTGCATGTTAAAACTTGACAATCCTGGGCCCTACCCCTTCTCTATATACCAATGGTTCTCAAAGTGTGGCTCCCAACCAGCAGCACGGCATCACCTGAGGATCTGAAAGAAATGCGAATTTTCAGGCCCCATTCCAGACCTACTGAATCAGATGCTCTGGGGTAGGTCCCAGAAATCTGTATTTGAACAAGCCTCCAGGGGACTCTGATGCATTGAGCACCCTGAGATTGAAGGTTCTCAGCCTTGGTAGCTCATTATACTCATCTTTGGGATTTTTTCAAATCCCAATGCCGGGACCTGTCTCCAGACCAGTTAAATTGGGGTCTTTGGGGTTGGGTCCTAGGCCTCAGTGTCTTTTAAAGTGCCATGGATGACTCTAATGTGCAGTCCAGGTTGAAGGCCACTGCCCCAGGTTATTCATGTGCACATTGAAGTCTCAGAGGACTACTTTAGAGGTATGTAAGTGACAAGATTTCTTCATAAGGTAGCAATCCTGATTTCTAGTCTAATTATGGAGATGTTACTAAAAGGATTGGTACTTTTTAATGCAATTCTTTGAAATTCTCTACCTGGTCATGGTCCTGTTTTAACAGAAGATTTCACATTGATTTTTTTCGTTTAGGGGGTTTTCTTTGCAATGTTGAATTATGGCCACATGAGTGGTTACCTTAAAGAAGGGAGTTAATGCAATTCTTTGAAATTCTCTACCTGGTCATGGTCCTGTTTTAACAGAAGATTTCACAGTGATTTTTTTCGTTTAGGGGGTTTTCTTTGCAATGTTGAATTATGGCCACATGAGTGGTTACCTTAAAGAAGGGAAGCCAATTTGAGCCAGAATCAAAGCTGCTGGAGTACCAGGGTATAGAACAGGGTGTGGTGGGAGCAGACAGACCTCAGATCTAATCCCAGCTCTGCTAGGTTTGAGCTGTGTGACCTTGGCAAGTACCATAATCTTTCTGTTCCTCAGTTTTCTTATCCACAAAAGGAGCACGTATCAACCTACCTTGCAGGATTACTGTAGGAGCTAAATTAGTGTTTACAGACAAGCGGTGGGTTAAAGCAGGCACTCAATAATTGGCAGCCACTATCATCTAGGATTAGTAGTGACATTTGCCAGGGGCCAAGTCAAGACCCAGTCACTTCGGTTGCCTTGGCACTGAAATTGGCCCACAGAACCCTAGGGCCTTGAAACTATAAAAGGACTACTTCAATGTTTCAGATGGCATCCTTGTAACCCAGCTCTCAGCCCACTGCACTGTGAAGTGTTTTCTTCCCTCTTTTAGCTCTGATGTCACAGATAGGGGCTATCAAGGCACCGTATAAACGTTCCCAGGGACTGTCTTTTCCTGTGGTGGTTGTCATCTCTACAATTATTGCTGCTCACATTCATTTTTGCTCTGAGCCATGCTCCCTGGTAGGTGAGCAAATGAGAACCAGCTTGTTTGTTACAGCAAAAGGAATACTGCCCTCAAAGCTTTGTCCCAGTCAGAAATTCCCTTCCTGTCTATGAACACATTAAACAAATAGAAATCCCCAAGAGGAAGGTCTTTGCGGGGACATTGATCTGGTCCAGTGTGCTTGATAGGCTTCAGGGTAGTGAGCTGACATACGTGTATGCTTTTCCCCAGGAGGTTGTTTCATTTCATCACTAGCCTCAGTGGAAATCATTAACCACATGGCTGTATACATGTCGCATGCCTAACTTTGGGAGACCCATGTAAAAAAAGTTTGGAAACAAAATAGCTTTGGCAGCATTTAAAATAAAGATGTGGAGAAAGCCACTTACTGGGGTAATAAATCCTTGATGGTTCTAGAATCTGGCTGCTGTCTAGAGAGCTTATTTTAGGGAGAATTTACGGTGTATTTGTAAGTTAGTTTTTGCTGCTTAAGAAGCCACCCCCGAAATTTACTGTCTTAAAAGATCAAAAGGGTTCTCTCTCCTGAGTCTGTGGGTTGTCTGGACTGTTCTTCTGGTCGGGCTGGCTTGGCTGGGGCTGGATCATCTGAGATGGTCTCACTACAATGATGGGGCCCCAGCTGGACAGCTGGGGGGCTGAGATGCCTGGGGCCTCTCTCCACCTGTTCCCTCCACCTCCAGGAGGCTGCCCTGGGCTCTTCTTCTGGTGGTAGGAGAGCCCCACTGCTAGAAAGGACAAGCCCTAATGCATGGACACTTTTGAGCCTCTGCTTGCATCATATTTGCTATTATCCCATTAGCCGAAGTAAGTCACAATAACCTGACACAGTATTGACATTTAATCATTTAGATCCAAGAAACCAAAACAAGAGATTATCTCATGCAGAGATTCCAATATAAGCCTCACAGTGAGTTTCATGCTGAAATCCCAAAGTTCAGGGGTGATATTTCCACAATTTAGTTCTCTACATCACTGTAATGGAGAGAAAAGGCTGTAAGAGATTTCTGGATGGTTGAGACCCCTTTGCTTTTGCAAACCCAAGCAGGAAACCATTTGGCATCACTGGCTTATGTCTTACACTGGTACCCACCCCACAGGGGATGTGAACTGCTACCTGTGTGATATAATATGCTTTCTCCCTTTTTATGAGTATAAAAACATTATAATCTTTACCTGTGACTGGGCTTTTTTGGTTCCCTTTAACAAAATCTGGGCTTGGTGGTGTGTGCAGGACGTGAATGAGTGTGTGCACATGTGCATGAAAACCACTGCACCTGGATGCTCCTCTGACAAGCGTGCAATTGTGCAATTGCTCCAGGCACATCTCTGGTGTTCTCTGGGAGATTAGCAAGAGTCACCAGACAACAAAGGTCTCAGAGGGCACAGCAGCTGTGCTGTGTTTCAGAGGGAAGGTTTCTCCCTCTGGAAATGAGTTTTCTGTCCAGTCCCACTATGTTGACGCCTACCTAATGGTAGAGATGAAGCTGGGGAAGGAGGCCCAGCTCCCTAATAGGAAGCAGTAGTTTCAAACATCTGCTTGGCTGTGTGGTTGGAAAACCATTTTGGAAAAATTCTTTTGCGGGTAGGAGAGAGAAATGGATGGGGCACCTGGGGGCAGGTGAAGCATGAGCAAACTGTCCACTCAGAATTAGGGAAGAAGACACAACTGCAAAGCACCCCCCCACACACACACACACACGTGCACACTCCTCTTCTGCTCATTGGGCTAAGGAGGCTCAGCGGCTCTGTGTGTGCCTAAGGAGTGTTCAGAGCGAATGCCATGTAAACCACAGCCCGGGAGGCTGGCACGGGGCCCGCAGTTCAGGTAGAAACACGTGCGGATTGCATTCCTGCAGGCCTATGTCATAATCATCACTGTGACCTGCTGTGGAAGGAGGGTACCCCTCTCCTGCAAGGCACATGCCTGTAGCTCCATGCTTGGCACCAGCAGAGGCCCCAAGGCCATAGGAAGATTTGGGTAAAGTAGGAGAAATGATAACAGCATGGAGATGCTGCAGAAAGAGTCAGACTTCAGAGAGCAAGGGCTGTGTGAGAGAGCACAAGCTTCCTTTTCTGTTAACCCGATGGCCTGGGACAAGTCATCCAACTATTCCAGAGCTCTTAGCCTCTACTGCACCTCCCATGCCCCGGGGGCCCCCGAGCCTGCTCTACTTTTCCTTTCTCCACACCATTCATCAGCACTAGCAAACTATATAAGTTACCCATTTTGTGCATTTATTGATTATTATCTCTCTCTTCTCACTAATATACTAGTTCCAGCAGGGCAAGGATCTTTGCAAGTTTTACTTAATGGTCTATCTCACATGCCTAAAATTGTGCCTGGCATATAATAAGGGCTCAATAAATATTTACTGGATAGATGTTGAACAATGACCTCAGGGACCATTTCTTTTTTTTTTTTTTTTTTTTTCTTTTTTTTTCTTTTTTCGTGTCTGGCAACGGACCGCAACCCTCAGTGTCGCGCCCGGACCGGGA